AGGCACCTCCAAAGCAGCCCTGTCAAATTCTCAAGCTGTGAAGCAGCATCTTCCTGCTACAAGCATTTCCCATACAGCAGTCAGCAAGTTCAGCAGAACACCAGGAAGTCAAATTCAGGACAGATCTGGGAACACCTGTGTAGAACAAGGGACCTCTGGGCCTCCGATACTGCCTTTTGTACAGCTAGATGTGGGGATTTTTTAAATGCCAGGGAGGTTTAATGCCAAAGCAGACAAGACTAGGTGGTTACCCATATCCAACAAAGAATTGCTGGAAACTGCTTTAATCATTATGTCAGCTGCACACTAACTGTGAACAGGTCCTTGCAGCAGCCTCAAATCCCCAGTCTTTGTTCTACCACCCAAGAAAATTTGAAGCACAGCTGGCTGATTACACACTGCTCATGTAAGTAAACAAAATCCAGAAGACAAAGCCACTCTGCATCGCAGATTGCTGTTTGGAAAGGTGAGAACACAAACAATTTCAGATGATTCCAGCACCCCAGAAGCTGTCACTCAATTCTTGTCTACTGAACATCATCACAGAAGACATCCCCCCCACCCCTCCCACTATTCACTAACCCTTCTGAAGGACGCAAACCACCCAAATTTACTCTTAAAAACACTTCATCTCCTCATATCTCCTTGAAGGAGGTATCTAGAACAACATCCAGACACTACAGAACAATGATCAAGACTAACTGCTGATACCACTTGGCTGTTAGCTAGTGCACCCACCAGTGTGTTTATGCTAGTCCACCTACTACATGCAAGTTGCATAAGGGGTAGGAAATGCCGAACCTGACATGACCTAGTCACCAGAGTCAATATTGACACTTCCCTCATTTAAACACCGTAAGGGGGGAGGAAGGCAGAAGGAATACATCCCAGTGCCAGGTGGGCAGGTGTTCCCAGATTTTAGCTTCCAAACACTAGCACTAATATCTCATTCATCCCTCTTCAGCTCCTTCACTTGAAGGAAAGTGCATTAACTACTTGACTAAGCTGCCCCACAGCTCTGGAAGTTAAGGAAGCTCTAAGAACACATACCCATCCCTGCAAACCCTTGCACCAACAGCTGCTAATCCTGTAACTTCAGTATGAAAACTGAAAGAGGCAGGTCTTTCACTTTGAACCAACTCTCCCACTGGCCTCTGACAGAGTTCTGGTACATCCAGGAGAGAGGATTTGGGGCTATAGCCTGATCTGAAGTTGTGATAAGGAAGTGAGAACGTGTTACATTATAGACAAGGAACTTTTAAAAGGACAAATGGTCATCTGTATCTGTTACAGGTAACAGAAGGAATAGTGTTGTAATCCTGTAAGTCTTATTCCCGCTTTAAAACTGACCCAAGTACACATATTACAGTGACAGATAATTTCTGTTCATCTCACCACACCCTTCCCATTCTCCTATCCTCATCCTGCAGACACAATCCTGTCAGGAAGTACCAATTTAATACTACAAATTAATCTTAAAATACAGCTTTTCCTCCATCTCAAGGACTCGGCCCTCACCACTAGGAACAAGCACTCTTCAAAGGCTGAACCTCCCTCAAAATGTTTTCCCTATCTTCATAACATCCAGTATCTCACTTCAGGGAACTCCTCTCTGCATCAGTCTAGAAAGCAAAGAGGCTTTACCAAGGGTAAAAATACCTATGAAAAAAGCCCTCTTCAACCCGTTTCTGTACACTGTTAGTGGTCCAACACTTTGCTGGCAGTTTTTCACTACAAAGCCCACCAGTCTGCAAGATAAACTTTAACTTGACTATCATTACAACCACAGAGGTACCAACTATTTGCTGGTCTTTCACCCACTGACTACCTCCAGTGACTGTTTTGGTGTTTTCCAGAGCCACAGGAGGAAGGCTGTTATGTCATCTTGCCAAGATGTAACCCGAGTTCCTGGCTGTACCTCTTAACTATCCCCAACAATCTCACACTACCAAATGACTGCTTGGCCTTCTACTCCTGCTTGCTCTTCAGGTGATTTTAAGAGGCCCAAAGTGCTTGCAACCACACTACCATAAGCATTGAGTACAAAAGCCGTAGCCACACAAGTCAGTAGCCTCAACTGTGTGGCAAAGCATGGTTTGAGGACCAAAGTTGTGAAAGCACCATCCATGATGAGAGGCAACGGGTATCTAGAGCTGCAATGTCATATACCACACGTGCATTTGAATACCATAACCACTTCAGTTACATTAGAGGGCACAGCAGCTTCACCATTTCCCAAACTGGAGCGCCAGCAAAGCCAGCATCTGAAATACTAAAACCACCCTTCAACCATAAAGTGTTGAGAGCACAGCAGTTTTAAAAGTGCTTTTTAAACTAATCCCAACTCCCTCCCCTTATTCACTCAAAAAAGCTGTGAGCAAAACAAGGTTTATGGCCCCTGACATCCTGGTGGGCAAGTCCCTGCTCTTCTAGTTGACAGCATACAGACACCTATTGACCAGGGAGCTCAGGCATCCCTACTCCCGAGCAGGCCAATTACAGAGAAAGGCCATAAACGCAATGCGAGGTACAACAAACCTCGAAAAAAGCCTGTGTCGTTACCAGGTTTTCTAGGCAAGCTCTATTTCAGGCCAAGACAACCCCAAGAGCGTTTCATTATCAACTCCCAGCGTTGCAAAATCTACATAGGCAAGAAGTGTTTTGCAAGAGCCATGTGACACACACATGACTTGCAGCTAAAGTGAAGGGTGGACCTCTGACTACTAAGCTGCCAGCAGCAAACCGGCCAGGAAGATCGGCTTTCACAAAGCGCTGGTTTCCCCCGTCACTTGTTGGAGCTTGGGCCCCGATGCGCAGTATCGGGACCCGGGAAAATCGCCGTCCGCTGCTCCCGTACTTACTGCGCTCCAGCGGAGGGAGGCGGGATGCCAGAATCACCGGCCCCACCGCGCCGGTTTATGGCGGGGGCATCATTAACTTTTCATAGCCCGCCGTGCGGATATCCCACCCCCTCCCGCCCCGCCAGCGCCCGTAACCCAACCCCCGGGGACGGCTCCCGCAGGCCTAGCGCCTCCACGGCCCCCGCAGCACCACTCCGCCAGTGGCCAGGGGCCTTCAGACCCGAAGGCTCGGTCCTTCCGCCCCGTTCCTTTCCCACCCCCCCCACCCTGCGCCAGGCCCGGCGGCCGCCTCCTTCCCCCCCCTCCCCGCCGATCGCGCCCCCCCCCCGGGCACGGAGCCGCGGCGAGGCCCTGCCCGGCCCGCACTCACTATTCGGGATTCATGCTGGACATGTCCGTGGGGCCCGCGGCCCGAGGGACGGCGAGCACGCTGTGAGGGGGGACGGTCGCGGCCTGGCAACTGCCGCCGCCGAGGCGGGCGCTCCGCGGATGCAGACGTCCAACAGCTGCCGCCTTCTCCCGGCGCTCGGCTCGGCCTGCCCCTCCGCCGGCGCCCTGCCCGCTCCGCGGCCTCCGCGCTCTCTCCTCAGCCCAAAATGGCTGCCCGAGCCCAACCAGGAAACGGGGCGGCCTCTCGCCGAGCAGCGCTTACATGGCCGGGGGGCGGCCGCGGGGCACGCCGGGAAACCGAGTCCCCCTGCGGCGGGCGCTGCCGCTCGGCGGCGCTGCTCGGACTCGCTTTCCCGGCGTGCTTAGCGGCGGCGGCGGCGCATGCGCTCGGGCACGCCTTTCTTCCCTGGGCCCCGGCGGCTGGCAGCGGCGGCTGGCTCTGCGGATTGGCTGGGGAGGAGCCGGCTCGCGGTGACGTCAGCGGGAAGACGTGGCAGCTCGGACGAGTCACCGCGCGGGCAGGAGGGGGGCGTGGCCTCGGCGGGCGGGGCGGGGCGGGGCGTGGCGCGCGCTGCCGCGCCCAAGCCTCCCCCCCCCATGCCCGTTACCCCCTCCCCATCCCGGGGCGGGTGCCCGGGGCGGCCGCTGGAGCTGCCGGTGCCGCTGGGTTCAGGCTCCTCCGCCCGGGCCCGATGCGGTCCGATGCGCACGCAGCGATCGGGTGTTAAAGCGCTTCACAAAGGCCCGGGGTAGGGCGGGTTCCATGTGGGGCGCGGTGAGGGCCCGGCAGGGTTCGTCTCTGAAGGGGGAACCTTCGGCTGCAGCACAACCCGGGTGCTTGTTTCACCGCTCACCTTCGTGTCGGTGAGGGGTGAAACCCCTCCGTTTTTAGGAGGGGTTCAAATCAAACAGGGGCGGGTTGACATCTGTGGTGAACCGGGCACCTGCAGGAGCTCAGACCTCCACATGCATTAATAAGTAACAATCCCTTTATTTCGCGTTCCTCTTCTCAGAAGCATTTTACAAGCATTAATTAGTTACCTTCTGTAACATTCTTTGGGCATGGTAAATGCTGCTAGGCTCGTTTTACTGCTGGGAAGTGCATGGAGAGATTGTCACACACCTGGGATCTCAGAGCAAACAGCTTGTTAAAGCTGGAAGAATTCAGAATATAGGAGATAGTTTTCACTTAAATCCTTGATGAATATCAAGTTGTGTCGCTGACGTTTTATGTTCTCGGGTTTATTCCTAACAAAGTCCCAGCCTTTCCAACACCACTGGGAAGAGCACATCGCTGCAGTGCTGGGCATCATTGCAACTCAACACAGGGCACTGCTGAAAGCTCATGAGTCTTAACAGCTCCTTGTAATCAGCTCGGGAATTTAAATCCCCACTAAATACATATTATCTGATGTTATTTCATTACAAAGGGCATAGTATAATACATTGACCGAAGTTTATCTGCCATCCAGCTCAAAGGACAGGAGGAACAATCCGCAAGTGGATTGCGAGATCACTGAAGTGTGTGCAGGGCTCTGTTTCTGCAAGCTGGGCGGTGTCACTCCCACCATCCAGGTGTGCCTTCCATCAAGCTGCAGGTCACCAGCGGTGTAAGTACACCCAGGGACTACTGAAATAACCAAACTCGACAGCGACAGAGCAGAGCTGAATCCCCAGAGGAACTGAAATTGCAGTCTTGTCTGATGTTTTCCCCCCACAAAGATCATGAAATGCCACTCACACTCCACACATCTTCATGGGTTTAATATAGTTATGTTCAGTGCCTTAAAAAGTAATAAACTGTGCCAGCTATAACTGAAAATATAGAGCACTGGTTAAAAAAGGGTTTGTGTTTCCTTTGCTTTCTTGCATCGCTTGTTCTGTAACATAATCTCCAGATGAATCCACCATATAAATTACTGTACATACTGCTGCCGTGGTGGCCATCGCTGAAGATCCTACTTCCCTTTCCCCATTACGTAGTGTGTTTGTGAAACACCACCCATTCTGTTTGATGTTTGCCATCAGAAAGCCAATGAATCCTTTGAAACTCTCTTTCCTCTCTCTTGAGACAGTCTGTGGAAGGTGTCCAGATGTGCAGGAATATCCCAGATGAGAAACGTCACTCAGCAGACAGCACGTCATTCTCTGCCAAATACAAAACTTGCTTTATGAAGGGATATTTGTAACAGTTGTGCTTTTACTCCTCTCTTCCCCAGTGAAACAAAAAGCTCCAACCACCTCAATTCCTTATTCTGTTGTGAGGAATAATGCTTACAGGCCAGAGTAAACAGGGCTCTGCCACATACGGTGCTACATAAATGTATCCAGCACAGTCAGAGCAGACACAGGGACAAACCAACTCCAGCTCTAGCTAACTATGAAAACCACAAATTAGATTTACTTCTGAAGTAGGGCACGGGTTAATAAGACTGTGGGATGCTGTTTCATCTCACAGAAATAATAGCTTCCGTGTCTGAGAAGAGCATATTTAATCTGTGTGACTGCACCAGCAGCATGGCAGGTGTAGCAACCCATGGATGCAGGCTGGGTGTAAAGGCTATGTAAAAAGCGGGTTTAATTCAGCTCTGCAGGGTGGGCTTCCTGTTGGCCATGTTGCAGGTTGAGGTTGTCTGCTGCACCGATGTTATCTGCAGCTGAGTGCCTGCACATGGACCCGTTTAACTGGATGAACAGGCTCAGGACCCCTGCCTGTTTTCTAGCTGGAGTGATGATTTACAATCCATGGATCACGTTCTGTCCTGTTCCTCCTCCTTCCTTAAGTGGGTTTGCACAGCTTGTCTTGAACATCATGAACCACTGGATGGTCAGAGAGGCCTCGCTTGTCTCTCGCTAATAGGAGTGTAATGCAAGGAGCAATATCAGATGCCAGTTAAGGAAACATTATTCATATACCTTCAGGGCTGAATTCTGCCTGTGCCAATAGAGGCTGATTTTATCCTCTTAGTGGAAATCAGATGCAGAATTTCCTTTGGCTTGGGCTGTAGTGCTCTACCAGAGCGGCCCAGGAAAAGCCGTGAGCAGAGATTACCTTGAACTGCAATCACCTTCCCCAGTCCTCTGCACCCCAACCTGCTAACTCGTGTTCTTGAGGTTGAACTCTGCTGGGTCCTGCTTCCACTCAGGTGACCCTTCCCTCTCCTCCCTAAGCCACAAAAGGTGTGTGACAGAGGAGGCTCTGAGCAATGAGGAGACAGGAGGACACAGGATAGAAGCGAGGTGCAGTGGCTGCAGGGAGGTATAAGAGGGGAGAGGGAGGAGGAAAACCAGCATGAATGATGGAGGAGGAATGTTACAGCTGCATGAGCTCACGTTGTGCATGCAGTATGAAGCCTGAACACCTGCTGTGGGGCTGTCAGTGGGACCGTGAGGGAGCTGACCATGTGGATTGCAGCCTGCAGAAAGCAGTGAGGTGGGTAGGGTTCATTCTACGATCCTCTTCTGCCCCTGTTTCATGTGAAATGGTCAGTATTTTTTAGCCATGTAACCACACCACCCTGTCACAGGGTACAGGAAGGTTTCAGGTCTGCTCTCTACCACTCTACCGCTGTTTTTACCTTGAAAATGTTTTTCTTTCCCCTGTGTAACAGATCTTGAACCAAAAGTAGGGGGAATCAGGCTTCTGACCCAGTACTGCCTTCCCATAAAGCTGTCATGTTAGCACAGCAATGTTCAGATACCATTTGTCCCCTGCCAGTGTCCTTTTCCCTAAACTATGTATAAAACTAGAAAAAATAAAGAATTTAGGTATTTATTTCCCTTTCTGGTTCCTTTGCTCTTCCCTTCCCCTCCCCCTTCTCAGAGTCTGATCCGTGTTGTGGGAAGCTCGAAGGCTAAGAGATGCACAACAGCCACACGGAGAAGGTCAGGCACCAGGAATGCACACTACAGCTGACTGGTTTGCTACCAGGAGTGCTGGGGAACAAACACTGATTTTAGCTTATCAGTAGCAGCAGGTCTCTCTCGTACTGCTCACAGTCCTCCCATGTATTTAATCTCTCTGCAGGACTTGTCAGCTACCAGTGTTTTTTCTGACAAGATAACCATGCCATTTGTGCTATGGTTAGCACACCTAAAATGGTGTTAGCAAATTCTTATTAATTCTTGATTTAAGAAATAAAGGACAAGGAAGGAGTAAGTTGCCAATGGACCTGTGGTACCACTGGGAGGCACAGAACAAACACCAATACACCATACCAAGGTGTAATCTGAGGTCAGAAAAACAGGTATAGAGAGGGAAATGGTGTTAATGGTATTTTGTACCTGTTTAAGAGAGCTGGTCCGCTATTATATATTGCTTCTTACACCTGGAAGGTAACCACATGGTGCAGTGGTACTTACTGGTCTGCAAGTCACCAGGAAACAGCTGATGTCCAGCTCTACCTCTGAGTTCTGCCTCACACAGCCTGTGCTTTCGAATCCTGCAGTGAGGGGAATGAAGGCAGAGGTTTCACGTTGGTTACAATCACAGGCAGAAGCCAAGCAGATATAGGCAGGGTGAAGTGTCAAGAGCATGTGGTGAATGTGAAGGGATAGCAGTACTCAGGGAGAAGACATCCAATTCTGGTGAGCTAAATCTCTTTTAGGAAACTCCTAGAAGGACATCTGGTACCTTGTTCTGGCTCCTGTCTTCAGAATCCAGGCCCAGTTGTGAGCACATGGGAGTTTCGAGGCAACCGTCACCCAAATTTGAAGCAGAAAATTATTTCAGCAGGACATAAAACTCTGCAATTGGTGACAAGTGGAGTTCCTCAGGGGTCAGTACTGGGACCAGTGCTGTTTTAACATCTTTGTTGGTGACATGGAAAGCAGGACTGAGTGCACCCACAGCAAGTTTGCGATGAAACCAAGCTGTGAGGTGCAGTTGACGCCCTGGAGAGAAGGGATGTCATCCAGAGGGACCTGGACAGGCTGGAGAGGTGGGCCAGTGCAAACCTCATGGAGTTCAACAAGGCCAAGTGCAAGGTCCTGCACCTGGGTCAGGGCAATACCAAGCACAAATACAGGCTGGGCAGAGAAGGGATTGAGAGCAGCTCTGAGAAGAAGGACTTGGGGGTGTTGGTTAGTGAGAAGCTCAGCATGACCCAGCAGTGTGTGCCTGCAGCCCAGAAAACAACTGTGACCAGCAGGTTAAGAGAGGGGATTCTCCCCCTCTACTCCACTCTCATGAGACCCCACCTGGGGTACTGCCTCCAGCTCTGAGGCCTTTGGCACAAGAGGGATCTGGACCTGTTGGAGTGAGTCCAGAGGAGGCCAAAAAGATATCAGAGGGCTGGAGCACCTCTTCCATGAAGACAGGCTGAAAGAGTTGGTGTGGGTTGCCTGGAGAAGAGAAGGCTCTGGGGAGACCTTTTAGCAGCCTTCCAGTACCTAAAGCGGCCTACAGGAATGCTGGAGAGGGATTATTGTGACAGGACAAGAGGGAATGGCTGTAAACTGAAAAGGGGGAAATTTAGATTAGATATTAGGAAGAAATTCTTCACTATGAGGGTGGTCTAGTGGAAGGTGTTCCTGCCCGTGGCAGGGGGTTGGAACTAGAGGAGCTTTAAGGTCCCTTCCAACCCAAACCATTCCATGATTTTATGATTCTACGATAAGCTGGCTACCTATTAACTTTAATATCTCTCTTTACTTTTTACTTTACATGCTTGCCATGGTTCAGATCTTGATTTGCCAACCTTTTGCAAAACCGACAGTACCACATTTTGTATTGCATGGAGGAAGCACAGGGGTTTGGTAGTTGGGCTTTTGTTACACAAGCCTAGTGGGAGCAGTGTAACATTGCGAGCTTAGGACAGCAACTGAACACATTTGCTAAAATCATACTAAAAAATAAGGTTGTAAGAGACACCAAGAGACGATCTTGTCAGTTCCTCTACTTTAGTTGCATCTATTTCAACGTCCAGAAATGCCAATTCCACTGTTCCCACAGGACATTTATGACAGCACCCACAAGAAAGGTAAAAAAAGCTCAGTGGTAAAATGATTCCAAGGATAAATTAAGCAGCTTAGGCTTTTACTTAAGGTTGCTGTTGAATTTAGTACACTTTACTTCATCTGTTATATCCTGGGCATCTTTTAAAGCACAATCTTCAGTGCTACAAGAGATAAAGAAGACAGAGCTCAAGCTGAGCTTCTGTGGCTCTGTGCCAGCAGAGAATCTGGCCTGATTGTTGTTTATAGAATGGCAGATCAGGCTCTGGACCACAACTGTGCAATAGGAGGTTGGGCTCTGAGGTTGCCGTCTCCTGAGCATCTGATATCCTGCTTGCAGGACTTGTTTCCTTCTAGTAAATGAAACTTCTCTAATGAATGCAGACCTTGGTTGACTGCCACATAGACATTGAGGCAGAGTACTACTAGAATGCACACTTGAAAACATCAGGAAGTAAGAACACAGGGTCTTGTGGGGATCATAGTACTCTCCACACATACTGCCAAGGGCTATCTTCTACCCCTGACTCATGCATTTTGCAATGCAGCAGAGATAGCAGGGTAGTGCACCATGGAATTTGGTCGCTCTGCTCTTTGCCTAGGTATCTATTTGCTTAAGAGTTTGATTCATCATACCAGTTATCATGTAAACACTCTGGCATGTACCTAGCTGTGCTGGCATCTCCCTGCTTGGCACAGGATGTTGTTTAACACTGGCAGTTGACTTAATACTGAAGGTTGTTTCATTGGGTTTTGCAGGTAATTTTGATGCCAGAGTTCTGGAAGGGAGTTTTACCCTGTTAAGCTGAAAAGCTTGTATTTTCATATATATATATATGTCTTTATGGCATCCAAAAGTGGCAAAAGGATACAATTCTAATGAAAAGAAGCAAATCAAATCAGTGGCTGTACCTTCTTTCATCTTTCCTTCTACTATCTCAGCCCTTCTCTTCCATACCAGCTTTTGTGCCATTATTCTCTCTTCTAACCTCTTCCTTTTTCAAAACCTTTCTTCCCAGTTTTCCTTTGTTCCCAGTCCTCCTCTGTTTGCTTATTATTTTTGCACACCGCTTTGCACAGCATCTTCCATACTTCGTGTGTTGCACACTGACTTGGGCCTGCAACATGTTATTCAGCAACAAAACGCTCCCCCTGTTTCATGGCCTGGCACTGATGTTGTTGTTTTACATTCCATGACCTACATTTTTAATTTTTCACTGTTCTTTGTGCTTTTTCCTCTTTCTTGCCCCTTGGCATTTTGTTCTCTCCCTTGTAAGCTCCATCTCAGTTGGTCTGGCGCATTCTGGTGCAGGCTTGTGGAACTGCTTGCATGTGCCTGTACAGTTTAGCTGTATCACAGAAGAGAGAGCCTCAGACCTCTACAATGAAATTTGCATCTGCAGTTGTGTGTTAGACTGTCTTCTGGAATCATCTATTTTCACAATGGCTATAAATGCTGGGAGAAAGAAGGAGCCACCTCCCACACTATCCAGGCACAAGTGCAGATCTTCATGAGGAAAAGCCCCAGAGGCACTTTGCTCTCCCTACACAGGATTAATCTGGAGCCCTGGCAAGGCAATGGCTGGACGCACAGTTTGAGAAATACTGTTACAGCTCAAAGATGCAGCACTAACTAGACCCCCAAAACACAGCACATACTGAGCTGTTCAGTGCTTGAGCTTCCACAGCCTTCTAAGCTCAAAGGTTTCTCTGACAGCTCTCAAAAGGCTTTCTTACAACTCTGTGTTTTTCTTATCTGTACTGTCTTTTCAGTTTCATGCTATATTTCATGCTTAAAAATGGCAACAAAACCACTTGGTCTACCCAAAGCTCTAAATGAAACTTCTGTTTGGTGCTGTATCTTTCTGTAAGCAGGTGCATTTCAACTGAAGAGTTTTACTTTGTTAAGTATTAGGGGACTTGGGGAGATTTGAAAACAAGCTTACATAATTGGTTTATCCTATCAGTAATGTTGATAACTGCATACCTTCTTTGGCTGCCAGACTAAACTCTGAGTAGTCATTCACTGAATTAAATTAACAACCAACAGCAAACCAGATGGGACTCATCTTTTGTTATTGTTATTCGGCATGAATCCTTAAATGCAACAAGAGCTCAAGGGAAAAAAGCCCAGGCGTTGGATCTGGATGTTAAGAGGGTCAAATGCCTTCATCTTCATCCTAGCACAGGATAAAGAGAACTGAGGCTAGCTTACAGACCTGTCATTGATAACTGTTATTTAAAATCCTACAGATGTCAGTTCAGGATTAGGTACCATCACAGTGGCTTAGCAACTTCATTTGCTGGGTCCTGAAGGAGCTGGCAAATGAAGGTGCTAAGCCACTGTCCATCAGATTTGAAAAATCATGGCAGGTGAAGTTCCTGATGACTGGAAAAAGGGAAATATAACCCCCATTTTCAAGAAGGGGAACATGGATGATCCAGGGAACTACAGAGCAGTCAGTCTCACCTCTGTGCCTGGCAAAATCTGGGAGCAGATTCTCCTGGAAGGCATTCCAAGGCACATGAAAAACAGCAAGGTGCTTGGTGACAGCCAGCATGGCTTCACTAAGGGGAAATCCTGCCTGACCAATTTGGTGGCCTTCTATGATGGGGCTACAGAACTGATGGACAGCAGTAGAGCAGTTGATGTCATCTACCTGGACTTGTGCAAAGCATTCGACACTGTCCCACACGACATCCGTTGTCTCTAAATTGGAGAGACATCAATTTGGTGGATGGACCACTCAGTGGATAAAGAACTGGCTGGATGGCCGCACACAAAGAGTTGTGGTCAATGGCTCCATGTCCAGCTGGAGACCAGTAACGAGTGGTGGCCCTCAGGGATCAGTGTTGGCACCGGTCTTGTTCAACACCTTTGTTACTGACATGGACAGTGGGATTGAGTGTGCTCTCAGCAACTTTGCCGATGACACCAAGCTGTGTGGTTCAGTTGATATGCTGGAGGGAAGGAATGCCATCCACAGGGACCTTGACATGCTTGTGAGGTGGGCTGATGCCAGCCTCATGGAGTTTAACCATGCCAAGTGCAAGGTCCTACACCTGGGTTGGAGCAATCCCAGGCACAGCTACAGGCTGGGCAGAGAAGAGATTCAGAGCAGCCCTGCGGAGAAGGACTTGGGGTGTTGGTTGATGAGAAAATGAACATGAGCTGGCAGTGTGCACTCGCAGCCCAGAAAGCCAACTGTATCCTGGGCTGCATCAAAAGGAGCATGACCTGCAGGTCGAAGGAGGTGATCCTGCCCCTCTACTCTGCTCTTGTGAGACCTCACTTGGAGTATTGTGTGCAGTTCTGGTGTCCTCAACATAAAAAGGACATGGAACTGTTGGAACAAGTCCAGAGGAGGCCATGAGGATGATCAGGGGACTGGAGCACCTCCTGTATGAAGACAGGCTGAGAAAGTTGGAGCTGTTCAGCCTGGAGAAGGCTGCGTGGAGACCTCATAGCAGCCTTCCAGTATCTGAAGGGGGCCTATAGGGATGCTGGGGAGGGACTCTTCATTAGGGACTGTAGTGACAGGACAAGGGGTAATGGGTTAAAACTTAAACAGGGGAAGTTTAGATTGGATATAAGGAAGAAGTTCTTTACTGTAAGGGTGGTGAGGCACTGGAATGGGTTGCCCAGGGAAGTTGTGAATGCTCCATCCCTGGCAGTGTCCAAGGCTAGGTTGGACAGAGCCTTGGGTGAGATGGTTTAGTGTGAGGTGTGAGGAACTAGCTGATCTTAAGGTCCTTCCCAACCCCAACTATTCTGTGATTCTATTCTGTGATTCTATTCTATGATTCTATTCTGTGATTCTATGATCATTTCTATTATTTCAGACAGGAGCTCATAATTTGTGTCATTTGTACCATTTGCATTATTTGTATCATAGGAGCGTATACCAGTACAATCCTATGAGGAGGATGGTACAATCAGTTTAATAATGTCTTTGAAAAACCAAAGAACTGTCTTTTAACTGTGAAATACTGTGATTTTTGGTAGCAGATTTTGAAAAAAAAAATAAAATAAAGGTTTAATTCTGCTTCAAACATTAATCAGTGAATTCAAGTGGTAAAACTCTGCATAGTAGTAAAGCCAATATGAGATGCAAGCACTCAATGGGTTCTTTAGTCCGCAAGTGGTAAGGAACCTAGCTCCTGCTTTACTGGAACAGGTACACCTGGAGGCTTCAACAAATAGGCAGTACATCCTATTTTACACCACTTACCACTTGCAAAAATTTGAAGATGCACCTGTGAGTGGAAGTGAGAACAGACATGAACCCCTTATCTGCATTGTACAAAGGGAAAATTAGGAAATTGCACTCGGGATTCATGCAAAGTGTGAAAAATGTTCCATGCAATTCAACATTTTTATGACCGGGTGAATTTGTTTCCCTTCTCTCACTCTCTTGCTCTCTTCTTCTTCCCCCTCTTTTCTTTTTTGCTGTTTTAATACTTTATTTTCAGATTGTACTGTCCACACTATCCTGGTACAGCCTATTTAGACACACAGCCTAAATAAAGCCAGAAACTCTTAAATTCCATAGAGGTGTTTCATTTTCAAGCTAAGAGGCAGCAGCATTTAATTAGTAGCTCGCTAATCCTGCTATCATTATTCACTGGAATCACTCAGCACAATGGAAGGGTGCTAAATTGATTCTAAATGACACTGTGTGATGACTAACCTAACAAACAAACAAACATGAAAGCAAAGGTGTTAAGTTACCAGGCACTGCTGAAAAGTAGTAGAAAAGCAGGATTCAAGACTAAAATATGCACAGTGGAAACTGGTTTTTCTCTTTTTGTTTTTGTTCATAAGGCATATAATGTGAAGTTTGAAATTCTGTATTTAGGTGCTTAGCTTAATTTAATTTAGATTTAGACTGAGCTCCAGGTATACCAAAATATATCAGGTATACCCAGACCTCAAAGGCTGCTTACCACTGTGGGTGAGGGATAACCAGTCTGGCTGATTAGTCACCTATGGACTTTCTTGTAAGATGCACCCTTCCATAGCTGGGAGGGTTGTTGCACTAATCCATCAATGCAATTCTTTTCCTGAGCCCAACCACAGTGTGGAGCTGGCACTGATGAAGCAGCTCTGGTTTCTCCCTAAAAGCAAACAAAAGGTGAGATAAATCATATAATTTATATATATAATAGATATAAAAGGTAGATCATTCCAGGAGCTATAGATTTGCCATTGAGAAATTAAGAAACTATTTACATTCCACTGGCTATCATGGTGAAAAATAATTACAATGAATGCTACTCAAGCCAGGGTACTGAAATTATTTGCTCCTTTTATCTTAAGAAAAAAAAGTGCTATTTAAAGATCGAGTAATTCATAGTTAAACGCAATCACTCCCTACACACTGCATGCATTGCCTGTGTTCATTAACTGATGAGATGCTTTTTGTACCATGCCAAAAAAGGTCGCATTTTGAATACATGACTAACTATTCAAATTAGGCTGTCATCTAACACAATATTGCCCCATGTAATATTCATTCAATAACTGGGATTTTACGTCTGAATATGAAAGCTGCTAAAATACATGGTTCAAAAGACATATTAATATCATACCTAAATCAAGAGCATCGAAAAGTGGTGTGGGGCAGAAAGTCACAGAGCCTTATTTTGTGAGACAGCACTTGAAGAAAATAAATAATCAGAAGAACTACATTTGCTTTCCTATTTGGTATCCATGGAAGAAATATAGCACACATGGGAACAAGGGTGACAGTCTCTGCTGCGATGATTTTTCATTGCTTTTTGTACTAATACTGTAGTTCAGAAAGGGCAATGGACTACTGTGCCTTCCATCAACATGTAATTAACATATCAGAGACCTCAGCCTCCCTCATTGATTCAGAGGAGTCCGTCTAACTTTTTCTAGGGTATGTCCAATTTAACACTTGGCAAACTGAATGCCCACCCCCCTCAGAGCAGCTATTTTGTGAGGCAGCCAGTTCTACAAAGATATCAGGTCACAACGCTCCCCCAGATCCTACTTTGCAAAATAATCATCCACCCTATTTTAGTGGTCACATTTTATGATCCAGGTCATAAACCTGAAAGATTATTGAGGAGGATGCAGCCTATCTCAAATTAAAAGGACAAGGAGAAATAGTGCAGCGGCAACAGGTAATGTTGTGATGTACACTGCAACCCCAGAAGCAGAGAAAGCTGAAGACCTCTGTAACCACTTTCTATTTGTGGATATTACAAAAGCTGCACAGACCTTCCTTATAAAAGCTGAAGTGATGCATCTTCATTTTCTTTTGGTGGGCAGTCACTGTACATGATAAAAAGAGCTACATAAAATAATTTGTGGTACAGCCTATAGTCCAGCCTTAGCTTTTTCAGTCCCAACAAACCCATTAAGCTGAGCCAGAAATGACTCATTCTTCTGAATAACGTTGATCCAAAGCAACTGACTGCAGAGAATCAAGATACTGGCATATGACAGCAAGAGAGAAGAGAGTGTTCTGACTAAGTTCCAACTATACCTTTATGTTCATTGCAATTATGCCAAGTTCAAACACATTTTTTCTCCTATTCACTGGGCTGTATCCTGCAGGACAGGCTGGCATACATCCATGCAGGCCCTGAAAGAAACTGAGATTGATAAAAGGGAATGACAGGGTAAAAATGCTGCTCTTTGCCCTTCATTGCATCTAGACATATATGAAAGTCACCTGGTACTGTAGACTCCTTCCCACAGTGGGGCCAAAAGCTAAGTGTTCAAGGCAGAGCTAAACTGTAGGGAATGATCCTTTCTTTTTATAACAAGATTCTTGTTAGCCTTTCTGACCATTTCAGTTGGGCTCTACATATATATAGCTCATTTAGCAACAATGTTCTTAATAATCCATTTACATTTTTAATTGGTTTAAAGCGTAATTATTGTAGTTAACTGTTCTTTTTTAAACTATTGATATAAAAATAGAGACTGAACCAATATCACAACCGGTAAGTTTCATTTTCACTGAAAGACTAATAATGGCTGATGTAATCTGCTTGTGCCTACTGATGTAATCACAACCAGCTCAGATAAAGATGTTCCCTTTCATCGTAGCTGCACTTGCTTGTTCACTGTAACACTTACAGAAATGTTAGTTTAGCAGCAATTTGCCATCTAAAGTGAGCAAAAGTTGGATATAAAACCTAGAAACTCTGACGCCTTGGTTTCACTTTTGCTTTATAGTTTATAACTGCAGCTGTGAAGCTGCAATCTGGAAAGGCTCCATTTTGCTTCTGTAGAGGAGTCTCTGTCGACAAGCTTGCAAAATAGGTCTCCAAGGAATGTATTTGGATTAAGCAGGGAAGAAAAATTATACATAGATGGAATATTCATTTAACCGGACTGGCACAAGCCACCTGAGAGTAATCTATTCATTTTAACCAGCAATTTAAATAGCAGAGATTTTAAAAGTGTGGCTGTTCAACTTGACAAAAATCTTTACATTGTATCATAGGAAAAGTGACCAAACAAAAAGGAGATGTTTGAAGTTGGACTTTTGACTATGTGGAAAAGAGATGTATGAAGGGGAGTAAGGACAGGTAAGGAGCCTCCACGTTTGGTAGGGTGTTCAGGATGTATTGGGGACTGCAGTGTGCGTCCCTGGTAAGCTGAGTGCTGCAAAAACTTGGTCTGAAAGGTCCATGTTCCTTCCAGAGGCTAGAAAAGCAGAATGAATTTTACCCTTTTCAGAAGGTATTGAACTAACTGCTTTAATATGTGTGCAGAGAGTGACAGTTTCCTGGTGGGCAGCAATCACCTGCTACCCCTCCAACACTACCAAAGGAGATCATGTGCTGAATAAACCGGAACTTGTCTGGTTCAAGTTTGACATAAATGACCTTCTGCATGCAGAAAGCCACTCCTGCATCAGTCTGTATCAACAGCTGGGGGAGAAAGGAGGGAAAAAGGGAACTTTCAGTGGTTTATTTGATCTAAAGCATGTAAAAAAACCTGCTTTTTTTTCTACAGAATGCTGCTTTACAATAAGATAACAATGGGTTGTAAATTACTGGATGTAAAGAGACAATCTTGATAGAGATTAGACTGGCAATTTATGCTACTTACATGAAATAAAAAAACGCATCCTTTTGCTGATTTTTATAGAAAATACTATTATATTCTGGCACAAAAAAGTCCATCAGCTGAGGAACTATCATCTCACAGTGAGTGATGTCTATCTCTGCCAATATTAGTTTTATGGACCAAGTAATAACATTATGTTAATAACTGCTGATTGCTATTTGTGTACCAGCCTGTTCCAATACCATGGTGATGAGCATGCTGTTGGTGTCTGGAACAGATGGACAGAACACAAGAGATATTTGCCTTGATTCTAAGACAAATAGGATTACCTGTTTCATTAATAATGCTACATGAAAGCACAGACAAAACCAGATGATTCTGTCTCCACCTCCAGTAACTGACAGGAGGAGAAAGGCAGTGCACATTTATGAAGACACACACTGGGTGCAAAAAACAATTTACCCTAACTTTGAGGGAGAGCAAATCTTTGAATCACTTGTAAAGCCAATGCAGCTGCTTTATACTGTTGAGAGTGGAAAGAAAATTCACCCCCTCACTGTCAGCAATACAGCTCCTTTGCAGTTCTCTGCAGAAATGATACTTCAGGCTGGAGATGAAGCAATTGCCTACATCCCGTCCAACACAACCGATTCCCTCCTTGCTGCCTTAAACACCCCTTACAGAAAAGAAATCTGACAGATTCCCATCATTTCTGTAAGAAGAGAGCTGAAAGAACAATGAATGCCATTTCATCTCGTATTTTTGATATGACAAAGAAATAGGGAGAAAAGTACACTTCAACTCTACTATGTTGTTTCTTAAGCCCTATCATCAGAGAGCCACTTTAGTCTGCACTCTCACTCTTTCACAGAAATGAGGAAGAAAGAGCAAGACACAAAAGAAGAGGGAAATATTTCCACTGTAGGTTGTGCAGTTCTGTTTAGAATTAAGCCCGTGATATTGGGAAAAAAATATCACTACAAGATATGAAGCTGTATACCTTTGACAGATTGTTTTTCAGTGACTGCAAAAGCAGTTATGTGGGGAACAGAGCTCTGACACAGAGCACTGGGACCATAACAACAACTCCCTTCCTATCTCAGTGAAAAGCCAAAAGAGGAAACTGGAATCTTCTGCTTTCATGTAAGAGCTGCCAATTTCCCACTGGTATCAGGAGCCAGTCATGTTTGGAAAGGAAATGACCTATTGCTGCATGGCAAAGCTAGCAGGTGCAGATGGCATGTGAACAACTTTCCCAATTACTTCCCTGCCAAGGTCACAAAACAAAAAGTACAAATGGTTTTGAGGAAAGTAATTCAGCTCCTGCCAGGTCATCCACAGAGTCTGAAAGCTCTTTACTCAATTTGGCATCCAAAAAGGTTTGAAATAAGGTCACCAACGTAGGTGATGTGTCAGATCACTGCAGTGATGTATTCCCTTCTCCCAACACACAGAGAATCCTATAAATTACATAATGTCAACGAACACTGAAGCACCACAATCATTCAAACCAACACAGTGGCAATGCCTCTCTTTAAATTGAATCATCAGTTAATGCAGCCAGAAAGTTGCTTGTCCTGCAGCACTGTCTGGCCTGCAGACAACCTCTCACTGTCAGACTGCAGCAGAGCTGTGAGAAAGGAGCTGCTGGGTGCCGCTGCCAGCACTACAACAGCGAGCAGGGACCGTCTCACTGTGTGGCCATGTAAAATGTGTCTCAGGATGAGAGGAGCAGCAACCGGGCAAAGAGCTGAAGGTCTTAGGAAATGAGATTTAGCATGCAGCCTTCAAGAGAAGTCAGCACTGGGGAAGGCTGTTAACCATGGTGTGTTGGTATTAAGCATCAAATCCTCAGAACTAAGATGAAAAAACTTTCTGCCATGCTTTCGCTTTCCATTCCTTTTTACTGGCAAACAACACCCATCTACATCTGTCCAAGGAATCATGTCATTCCACTACAAACATAGACATTTTGAGTAGGTCCCTGCTCACATCTGAAATATACAGCTTGAGAAAATAACAGGAAATAGCAGAGCAAAGACGGTTTCCAAGAACCACAGAGCCAAATCAGCACTTTCTTCATAGTGCATAAATTAAAACTTTTCTCTGCTGCTCTGTGGAGCAGAGTGAACTATAGCAGAATTACTTCTATTTCTGCAGAACTTGGCCTTTGCAAATACTGAGTGCATTTTCATATAATAGTTAAGGTTGGAAAGGACCTTAAGATCATCTAGTTCCAACCCCCCTGCTATGGCCAGGGATGCCTCACACTAGACCCTGTTGCCCAAGACTCTGTTATAACAGAATGGGGAAGGTATGGAAAACAACGCATGCATCACAACTTGAAAACCAGGATTTCAAACAGGAATCAGACCTTCCAGACCTATCTGGACACTTCTAATCACAGTCCTGATAAACACTGCACTGTTACCTCCAAATAACTCTCTATTGTAATATGGTTTATCTCAGATTTGCAAAATATAAGTTTCTTAAATGGCTGCTCCTAAACCAACTAAGTGAAGTAAGGAAATGGAGTGAGATTTATCAATGACTATTTTACACATTTTGTGGAATGGAGGCAATGAAGAGTCCTCAGGGTCTGAATTTCATTTGTTTGCAGTAACAAAACCAGGTTGGACAGGCTAGTTAGAGTGGGATTAATTTGAAAGCTAACCAATGATAGCTGCATGTACAAGAGAGCATCCCTTCCTCCCTCTGAGGGATGAGTGCTCTCTCCTGAAATGGGTATCAGAGATAGAGGGAAGTAATAATTTTCTGCATTGCCTGTTTTCTCTTTATTGACTATTGACCATTTGCTGAGAGAAGCTGGCTGGAATTTAAGCTGTGATTCATTTTACTTTGTCAATTGCTTCTGAGTTCTCTTCAATAAGAAAAGCAAAGTTGTGTACAATACCATCGTGGGACTTATCTTTATTGTCTCAATAACTCAATCTATTCATTTTCATTGGGAAAAAACACAGACTTTCTATGCTTGGCCACTACATTTTTAGCTTAGGTTCTAGAAGTTAAAATACATGCTTTTTGTTAACTTCAATATCTCTGTATCTAGCAGATGTACTGCTAAATGAGTACCACAAATTGGTCTGGAATGATGAGGTAGTATTTCAGGCCATGAGACCTGAGAGTAAAAGTCCTTATAAACAAGGTTTTGCCAGCTTCAAGCTGAAAAAAAAAAGCCCGTGGAGAGAAGGAAAGGAAAAAAAAATGAATGAAAGACTGTCCTGTTTGTGAGCTGTAGCTCTCAGATTTTCTTACCTATTTGTCAATGAAATCACTGAAATATTCATGATCCTCAGTTAATTTCCAAGCTGACAATATTCAAAATACTACCCAAGGAAATCTGAAAGTGGTACTGGAAAATGTGATCTGAGATACAGTGACTAAGGCTGATCATGTTAAGAGGAACTCTGTGACTGCTATGGGCATGGCCTGTGCTCTTGGGCAGCAGAGTCATACTCTGCATAGCCTTTGTGGTTAAAACTTGTTTTCCATGATACAGACACTTTCAATATGTAATGTCAAAGAAAGACTATTCAAGCTACGGTAAGTG